TATAAATCAATTATCAAAATGGTTGCAGAAACATTTCTCTCAGTCAACTAATCAATTACATGAATAATTATTGCAACTTTGTACTAATAGTTCATCAATTACTAATAAAAACTGATGGTTAAAAACTGAAACGGACTACCTTAAAAGACACCTGAAGAGTTCACCGCAGGCGCTGCCCGAGACCGTTCGCCGTGATGTGATCACCACGGAGGTCCTGCACACAGCGGTTTAATTCATACTCCCTTCGACCATGCTTCATTATCCTCTATATCAGATGTCCTATCATGCTCTGTAATTAGAAATCGGTATGTTACACATTCCCCTTAGACCTTATCAACATGTAACTGCCATCAAAGGTTCAGAGCACTGCTGACTCCAGGGGTAGGTAGCGGTTTAACGTCTGTTTGGCTTTTATTCGTACTGTCAGTCTATGCAAACATCCTGCGATCTCAAGCTGTAGTGCAGCTAAGAAAATAGAATATATTAAGCATTTTGTCTGTATACACAATGACAAAGCTACAGGGCTGTAGGAAATGTTCACGCATTTCTCAGTATGTAAATATATTAAAATGCCGAAGCTCCAGAAATTTGTATTCCTGTCAGACTAGCTGTTACTGGAGCTCCCAGTGAAACTTGTGAACTTAGGACAATGTGCCTTGTCTGCTTTGCTAAAAGAAGTCATTCATTGTGCATTGGAAACACTAGATAACACTTGATACAATCATATCTGTTTCACACCATGATATCTAGTTGGCTGTCTGACAGGAGCCGCTGCAGTGGCAGGCAATTTAGGCTGCCTGGTGAAGACCTCAGCGATATGCAACACGCATGTAACTTGTCTAAGCTATGATCACAGGTTACCAGGCAGGGGTCAAAGGGTCGAGCCACTCAGATAGCTTTCTTGCAAACCTTTCAGCTGTCATCACACTACTCACTGTAATCAATATGTCAATCCTGTCTCCTCTTCTGTCACGGCCTACAATCCACAGTTACATCCGAGTGATGAAACAAAGTGCTCTCACAGCATGTACTATATTCTTTAAAAGAAGAACGTCAGCTCTGTAGACTAGCAATAACACAGTTTAGCCTGTCCTTTGAGCTGCTGGAGATTTTAAATGAATGTCAGAGTTGAAAAAGAAACATGACATCTTATTTTGTTGTGTTCTGAGACTCGGGCATGAATTTCTGATGGCTTGTTTGAAGGTTGAACACATCAATCTTTTAAACTGACTTAAAGGTTCCGTGGGAGCTTTGGAGCCAGACTGTTACACTGACATGGCTGATATTATCAGACGATTGTAGATCAGAAAAGATATATCAGAACTGGCGTGTCAAGAAACAAGAACTTTCAGTACAGATGAGCCAGTCATATGTTTGAGTAATGTTGCCTTTACATAGTTTGTCCACCTGTCCAACTAGAGTTAAATATATCCAAATAATCAAAATAATAAACAGCTGATTTTCCTGATCCTCTTATCAAATATTGATAAAGCATCAGCTTCAAAACTGCAGTACTAGTCCTACCACAGGTGGCAGAATGGAGCAACTTTCAGAAGTTTTTGTATGTTGTATTCTTCAAATACACAAGAATGCACATGAACTTTAGTCGATTAATCAATTAGTTGGACAGAAAATGTATCAATAACCATTCAGATTAAATGCTTTAATTATCTTTTAAGCAACAATGTCAAATATATGCATGATTACTCACAGCACAAACAAGGAATCATACAAATGCGATTTAAAAGAATGCAACAAACAGACGAACTCAACAGCTGCTGGAAGCTCAACACTTCCAGCCTTTGGAAACATCCCAAACTTGGACTTTAGCTTAATCTTTGCAATCTGCAGCACCAATCAGCTCTAGTTCAAACAAAAACACAGCTCTCAGAGGTAAGTAATCATAACCAGAAACAATTTTACCCAACATTACACCGCAAACACTTTCAACTCTCTGTGGTTTGCTTCTCCGCTTGAGCCTTCCTTTTGACCCCAAACAGAGCCTGTCTTTAATGCACATGTTGATCTGATTGCATGAGAATGAATGAAATAACAGAGTATCAACAGAGAGCTGCAAAAGAGGAACATTTTGTGTTTTGCTAAGAGGAGGCAAAAACCACTTCCTTTCAGTGAATGAAAGAGCTGTCCAAGAAACCGCAGTTTCATAAAATACCACCCACTCTATCTCTATGATGCTGCAACCTAACATTACAGCTGCACCTTGTTTATCCTGCACTGCAATAAAACCATATGCTAGAAAGCAGAGAGCCTCTTACTCTTCAAAACATAAAGCCCAATACATTACAGCGTCACGCCTCCACCGCTGCACTACGACCCAGCCAAGCCTCCTGGCTGCAACGCAACCTATCGCAGTATTAAGACAACCACAAATTAAGCTGCACAAAGACAATTCAACCTGGGATTACTCACCATCATGATTCGTTATTGTTCCTTCAGTTCCTGGAAATATCATTTAGCAGCATACTAATTAATCCCTCGCTTCTTTGCAGAGTAAAACAAAATTGCCTGTCCTCTGTTCTGTCTAGACTTTCAAGAGCCTCAAGGCTGGTTATTAAGTTTGTTTATTGATTAGCAAGAAAAATGCTTACTCAAATGTCACAAACAGAAAAGGAGACAGCATTAATACAGGGACAGCTTGCACGCACATCTGTCTGACTGTAATGGTTTCATTTTAAATGTCACTGTGTCTCTCTTCTGCACAGCATTAACGGTCATAAAGCTTACTTCTTCCGGTTAGTGCCAAGCAGAGCCTGAATGGCCATCTGAGAAATTCAATTCACTCACATTGAAATTGAGGTTTAGTACAGGAGCTGTCCAAAAGCGTGCGCTGGGATTACCCAGCCAGGTGGTGAGTCAAACTGTCAGAGAATAAAAGTAATTCATCCGCTGGCTCCAAGCCCACTCACAGTTTGCCAGTCCTACTTTACAGATCCACAGTCAGAGCTCAGATGATCTATGTATGAATTCAAATGTGTGAGATTGTGTGTTTGTATTTGTCTGTGCCTGTCTTTGTGCATGTTTGTACATATTTGATTATGTGTGTGTGCATGTTTGTATATGCGTCGGTGAAAGTGGGCCCAGGTGGGGGTGTGTGTACTCATTTGTGATTGTGACAGTGTGTGTGTGTGTGTGTGTGTGTGTGTGTGTGTGTGTGTGTGTGTGTGTGTGTGTGGTGTGTGTGCCAGAGCGGGAAAGTGATTCCCCTGATGGGCTTGACAGCTGTGCAGGGAGTGGCTCAGCTCGTTGTCTCTGCCACCTGAGAAGCACAAGGGCGGGATGTGTGTGTCTGTGCAGCGTCCATGCTCACCTCCCGTCCCTCCGACAGAAGCCACTTTGTTTTGATTCATGTACTAGCCCCTTACAAAGTAAAGGATGTACCAATGTAAAGTTTATGTAAAAAAAAAAACATCCACACCAATGTCTACAAACACTCTTGCACATTTGCATCTGGGAAGCCTGGATAAACATGTAACATGTAAGTAACCTGCCAAAGGCCAACACGTTTTTGAACCTCAATAATTCAAACAGCATATTAATGTTCTTTTGACGCAATCTCCCAGTTAAACTTTCATTCATACATATCATTATCAAGTTAAGCTTCTTAATTGGGGCCTCAAGCGTATGCAGCAAGTAGCTCCTAAAAACAAGGTTCACTTGGCGACACCTGTCGCACCAATGTGTCTACAGCTGTTATGTTAATACATCAGATACATATTTCATCAACATATCATATGCTGTTCTCACTTTCAGGTTTTAGATACAGCTTGTGAAAATTTGTTAGGCTGCCACTCAAAGCAGGTTCTGCTTTCTCAGCCAAAAAAAGTTGACTGTAGTTCTCAATTGTATCTTTTATAGTTTATATGTATAGTGGATTCAGTAGTGCATTCAGATTCAATAAACTGCCACCAAACCCCGACCCTAACAACAACTGCCGCATCCCGCCGCACATCTCTCGATGCACAGTGCAGTGCTCGACCTTGAGTGCACATATAAACTATTAAAAGGATCATCAGTCAACGTGAACACTGCTGTAAAACAAAGGCGCAACCTTTCAGTGAGGAACCACATTATTCTGGGATTAGTGGCAAGGACAAAAGGGAAAAAGTGCAAGTTCAACACTGTGCAAGATGATGCTCTTTGGGAGCTGCACCAGGCTAATTTCAATGTCCATTTACTGTCTATTCAGAGTGATTTCTCAGTCCTCCACATGACATGCAGGGATGTGGACATGTTTATTCCTGTGGCACAAAAGTGAAGGACATAACACAAAGTCTAAACTTACTGTTATTTCACATTATATTTAGTGTGTAATTGGTCTGATAATCCATTTTCAAACATATGTCTAGGAGAGATATGTGATTATGCCTAGAATCACTGCGTATGAGATGATGCAAAGTTTTGTGACATCCAATTTGACTAGTAAATGAAGGCTGGTGCAACACACAGACCTGATGTCCACATATGTCACCCTCATGCTGTTAAGGTGGCAGAGAGAGAAAGTTGTGCCTATAAATCTCATCTGGAAAGGAGAGGAAACGCTCTCAGGAGAGAAAGCTGCAGCCTTCTGGTGTATACTGCATTAATCCACGCTGCATGTTTGATCACTTTCCAATTTACTGTGCAGTCTTGACAGGCAAAAAGCATGGGGACAAACATGTCAGTGAGCTGTACATACGTGCTATATAGCACAGATGTACTGTACATACAGGACCCTTCCCTCCCCCCTCCGAAAACCAAATCTGATATTTGCACCTGTGGAAATTAGATACTGTGTTCCAGCATGGAAAAATAAAACCAACCAACCAACCCCACCAGTCTTTTGACTTTGTGACACTACCGAGGTAACTATACACTCACAGACCCCACTGACGTAGGGTCACAGTTAATTAAGTATGTGCAAAAACAGGAATATTGAGTGACTTAGCAGCGAATATGTCATCCTCTGGAGGTGTACACAAAGCTATGAAAACAGTTCTTACCTTGGTTGTTAGTTGTTTTCACTCCAGTGTTGTTTCTTTACATTTGATTCCAGCCGTTATCCAAAAGCAGGTCTCATGGAACTCTGTAATCAGAACAGAAAATCGGTGATTCCTTCATACCTTTGCCAACAAAAGAAAAACATCCACCAGGCCAAACACTCTGGAGAGTGAAAAGGCTTACAGAGGGATCCTGCGAGACAGGAGTTAGCCAAATCCTGCAGATAGCCACAGCTCTGCAAAAGGAAATCCACATGGCCACTCATGCATGTGTGTACTGCCAAGTCAGGGATGACATGGGAGGAGTCTCTGAGTTCAAGAGAGGAAAATCCCCGAAGGAGGTGCAAGGTTTTCTTGTCTAAGCAAACCGATGTTAGATTTTCATGTGACCAGCTTACCACTAAAAGGCTTAGTAGTCTAATCCTTTAGCCAAATGAAGTGTCTAACTTAAGGCTTAGGCTGGCCAGAGGAATCAAAGGGAGTTTATAGTATGGACCTTGCTAGACTTTCAAAAGGCCAGGAGTACACTATCTGTTCAGGAATGCATTGATGGAAGGGCATTTCTCCACGGTACAGGTATTCCCTTAATCATCCCTGCAGCCACTTTTCAGGCAACAAGGCCTTTTATTTATACCTGACGTAGTACTACAATACAAGGCTTTCAGGCAACATTAATGAGACAGGTTGACTATCACACGCACAAACACACACACACTTCGGCTTAAGATGTCACAATCCTGGCAGCAAAAGTGAATTATTAGCAGTCACGCCTCAACAAATATCCTCAAGGTGACGATGAGAGTTGTGAACGTATGAATCTGCATAACTGTAAGTAGATCATTGCAACAGCATTCATGCTCAGTATACCTGTGCAGAAACCTCTTTTAAAAGGCTACGACCATTATAACGATGTCCTTGATGTATGACTGTTGAAGTAAATGATATTACGTTTTACATCTCATTCAATCATCTTACACTGAACAGGACCAAAATCTGCCTCTTTGCATTGGATCAAATAAAGTGACTGGCAGCAACAAATTGAATAATGCTTCCCATCTGTGGCTTCTCACACACACACACAGTCAGATAAACACACCAGTACACAGACATGCTATACACACCCATTAACATGAAAACATATGTATCAACAAACACAAAAACACTGACATTAGGACTGCGGCCAAAATGATTTTCATTATTTTCAAGGTTTTTTTTTTTTTTTAATTAGTTAATTAATCATGAAATTAGGAGCGTAAAGACAATCCAACACAACAGTGAGAGATTCAGATTCAGCGATGTAAGACTAACTACAGCATGAAATTAGGAAATAAATCAATACAAGTGTCAAAAAACAATCTTTCTAAAATGACTGTTTGTTGGTTAGGTCTGGGGCGATACGGCCTAAAAGTAAAATCTCAGAATTTTTCACATCACAGTCGTTTTGTGATAATTGTTTTCATTTTTATTGAAACAAACTACAAAAGACACCATATTTCTGGCAATGTGAAACCCCGTCTGCATCGTTTTATAATGTAAACTTGAATGAATCGATTTAGCGTATCGGTACTCTCCTGCAGGCTCACTGTGTTCCCCGGTCATAAACCTGCTTCAGATCTCCAATAACATTCCCACAATGAAAGAAAATCCGACTACTGTGTACAGCGCTGTCAGAAACTGAAAGTACCAAATTATGAAAGATGACACTGACTCAGGAGCAGCGGTAAACAATACCCATTCTGCAGCATGTTTCTGAGGCAGATGACATCATTTTCTGTGGCATTTGTATTGTTGTATTAGAAATATTCATATTTAATAAGGAAATAATTACTACTACTAATAATAATTATTATTATAATTATCTAATCACATGGAATTATCTTTCAAATCAAAGCACATCATATCATTACAAATGTATACTTTTAGTATCTGACCTTGGACATCTAGACGTATAGATACACAGCTTTAATGTACATGTAGTTGTATGTACATGTGTGATGAGTAAAGGCAAGCCTAAAACGTTTTTAAAAATGTATTAAATTAACTAGTTCCAGCTCTGATTGAGACCAAAAAAACACATATCCATTGATATATACAATATAGTATTATCGTCAGTGTCTTTGTCAGACTATCATCATTATCTGATGACATTCAGCCAAGTAGCACCACGACATTCTCACCTTTCCACCTGACTTGGCAGGCGGACAAAATAAGACAACTCCTATCTTGCACTGAAAAGATAATGAAGTAATTCTTGGAGGCACATAGTAATTGTGTCTGCTTGTTGGCGGCATTCTCAAAAGAAACACGGGAGGGGATTGGTGGCCTTTTGCTATTGTCTCACAAATCAAAGTCAGTACATTGAAGCCGTGTGAGTGATGTGTTGTCAGGATTTTAAACTTTTATTTTAAGACTTTAATAGTCTGTGATTTCATTAAATGTTTTGAAGTGAAAACAACGAAAGCATTCACTGCTAGATGCAGTTCCTTGTAAGCAGAAATATATTAGATGTTTAAAAGGTACATTGAATGAGCTCATGGTATGCTTCGGTTGCATCCAAACAAATTCCCTGTAGCCTTAAAGAAACAATCTTTTGATAATCTTTTGAGGCTCAGAAAAGCTGAAAGGAAAACAGCCGAGATTAGAGCTGGGTTATCGATCGATTGATTAAACAGCAAAAATCTAGATTTAAAGAGGTACTCCACATTTATACATTGTTTTGAGCTGTAAACTAAATTATATGACTGTACTGTGTAACCTGGCACAGTCAATGCTGACATGGACTACTTTACATCATGACATTTATATGAAAAGTGTTAATATTAACATTTGTTTTTAAGAAAAAATCTGAGATGTCCATATTACTCAGCCTTAGTTTTACTCATTCTGAGTTAAGTTGCTAACACTCAACTCATATCCTTTTCTATTCCCCCTAGGTGTAGCTTTCTTTAGTGCAAAAATATAGGTAAGTATTGAAATCAGAGTTTACACTAAACTGTTTACTGATGGGCAATATGGCCAATTTACTGTATTTAGTATACTATTAATGAATATCTATATTTGACATATAAATACTACAAATATTGCACACCTCACCTCTGTGACAGTAACCACTTAACTGTGATAATATCCAAAGTGTATGCTCCCTCACATTTGTTAAGGCAGTGAAGCCTAAGGGCTTTTATTTTTTAACAGAATTCACTGAGGAGGTCAAAGGACTTCAACACTCACTTCCATAAAGATGTTTCATTTTAAATCCACTCCTCCGGTGGGACCTGTATGATTTGTCAAAGGTTTTGTGTTTGACTGGGAGACTGAGACACACAACTCCACAACTGACCTCTTCCATAAGTCAGATCTCAAGTACTCAGGTGAACGTTTCTTAAAGCAACACCACTAGTTGGTTTTCAAGGCCAGTGTGGGTCTGCATCTGATTCTACAGCTAATCCGTATGCTAAACCAGCTCTCAGCCACTCAGGGAGGGATAAATATGCATCGGTACAGGCGGGACAGATAAGAAGGCCAGCTGCTTGGAGGCAGGGTTAAACCTGACAGCACTCAAGCGCATCTACACTATATGCTCTGTTTTATTTTAACCAGACAGAGAGAGAGATGCAGGTTAGTATTGCAAAGAGGAAACACAGTAATGATTCAGTGCTGTTCAGAAGCAACATCTGGAAACTTGTTGAGGACCAACAAACTGCCATTGGATGTCTGGACAGATTCAAAATGTTCTTTACTGATTTTGTTTTGTATTCAGTTAGACAAGTTCCTGTCATGCTGCTTGACTATATTTAAGATCATATAACTCAGAGAAAACCAAGAAATTGAGCCACTTTCATTAATATTCCTGCCTTTGAGCAATGATGATGCGATCACTGACAGTCACTAGAAAATACAGAAAAAATGGACAGATGGATAGGAGGAGGAGCAGAAAACCATTAAAAACATTGCTCTTGCTCCACTTTGCACTCTGGTGCCCCGGAAGAGAGAGACTGAATTATTTTGTCTACAACATAAAACGCCTACAGATGAGCTCCAGTCTTGTGACATGCTTTGGTGCAAAACAACAAGCAGCGACGGCAATAGGTTGACACATGATTTCGAGGTTCAGCAGATGGCCACGACAGATTAAGGTATGGGCCCGACCGCAGGGTTTTAAAGGCATTATAGAATATTACTTGTTCCTTGAAGCCCATCGACAACTGTGACCACTGACCACATTCTGAACATAAGAGGGGAAAATCCCAGAAACCCAGATTTTCCTTCAAATTAAGTTACATGCTGAGGCGGTTACTTAAATAGGGAGAACACACTTGCCTTCTTTTGAGAGAGATACCTTATGACTGTCTACTCATTTGAAATGTCCTCAGTTAGTGTCTGCTGACAGAATCATGCTACACTAAGGCTACAAACAATGAATAATATGCCACATTTTTCACACGCCATACGCTCATTTGCTGTCCTTCCAAACATGTTGATCACTGCAAACAATGTCATGTCTGTGTGTGAAGTACAGCTAGAGTTAGGATACTGTAGTTAGCCTAGCTTAGTATAAAAACTAGAAAGCATGCAGAAACAGCGAGCCTGGCTCTATCCAAAGTGATAAAATAAGGCTCACCAGCACTGTGTCTTGTTCCTTTACAGCCCCTATAAGGAACTTGTGTTGATTCTGGCACCCCCTGTGGACAAAAGAGGTAGTGTTTCCACCACCAATTGGTTCAAGTGATTCATGGTAATCCGACCCGGTGGCAGGCATTAAGAATAACTATTTAGAAATAGCCAATCTTTTTGTCCATTATGGTTTTGTTCATTTAGATTGTTTCATAATGGGTTAAAAAGTCCCTGTTGTAGCTTTAATCTACAGATTTTTCTTTTTCTAATCTATTTGTCAAGGATCTCGAACAAAGAGAATGTGATGAAATGCTTTGTACCAGATTTAGCTACTGGCTACTTTCCATCTGCAGTCCCTGGCTAGACAGAACTACAAAGCAACAATGTAGGGAAGTTACATATTCTAATTATTTCTGTTTGTGTACGGGTAAAAAAAACAATGAACTACATCAATTTAGTTAGTAAGCTTTAGGTATTGGTATACATATTTTTCTCATATTTTTTTCTGCGACAATAGCGGAGAGAAATAAACACTGAAGAGTCCGGTTACACTTCACTAGAGTCAATGCGGACGATGCCCGTTGGAACAAGT